GGTGTTCCTCGATGGCCCTAGCTCAAATGGATGCACCCAATCAACGTCACGGCCGCAGGTCAGGTGACCGCATTTTTAACAGTTTACGGTCTTAGCCAGGATCCACATTTAGCTCAACATTATATTAGATCTCCGCATTCCTACGCAGCCCTTCCCCACCGGCATCAAATTTGACCGACCACCGCTGTCTACGCTCGCTCGCTAAAGAAGACGCATGCATGCATGCACGCGTTGCAGAGCAATGAAAGCAAGCCCGTTCATTCATTCATTCATCTATCTATCCATCCATTCACTCATCTCGATTAACCGCATCCACCTTTTTTTTTTTGTGTGTTTAGATGCTTCGTCCTGGGGGATTAGGTCATTGCCTGAGATCGGTAATCGGTACGTGGCTGACGTCTGGGGTAGAGGGGGAAGAAGAAATACGGATGGATTCGTTGTTGGGATTGGGGGAGGTGGGGGGGATGTTTAGAGGAGAGAGAGAGAGAGAGAGAGAGAGAGAGATGTGTGTAAGTGTGTAAGTGTGTAAGTGTGTGGATAAATGGCAGGATTGGATCGCGTGTGGCATGAGAGTATTCCAGCTCGAAAAAAAAAAAACCTACCAGTAGCTGTGTAGAGAGATAGATCTCGAGAATGTGGTTGCGGCTGGTGAGAGGCAGGCAGTTGCTTAATTTCTGGGACTCCACCATGTCCTTCTGTCCTCTAACTCTAAGGATGGCCACTCCCGAGTTGGAGGTTCTGGAGGGGGGTGCTGGAAAAATGTGTTGAGCCAGAGGATTACTGCCTAGGTGCGGTACCTATACGGAGAGAGAGAAGGGGGGGGGGGGGGGGGGCTGGAGTACCCACTGTGTCCATGTAAAGCGGCGCATAAGAGTTGGGGACGTCCAGAAGCTGTCCTCGAGACGGAATTGGGGAACGTATTCGAGGAGACGCAAACGGTGTAGGTGTCTCGTACCGGTTTAGATCAAACGTAGCAGAACTGCGCATCTCTCGAGGGGTCGTGCTCATTCTGTGTGACGACCAGTGAGTTCCTGCCGATGAGGGCCAGTCCGGCAGCGTCGATACTGATTGAGACCGGTCTCTTGGAACCAGGTGTGGATCGATTCGGGAGCAGTCTGACTGGGTTGAGTAGGTACTGTCAGATGCAGAGGAGCACCATGGAGAGTTGTTGTACAATAAACCGGGCAACCAGCTATCTTCTGGGATCTGGAGGAGCGGGAGGAGTGGTTGTTGTGGGGCAGTAGTGTAGTTTGAAAACTGTGAAGAACTTGCTTCTCCGAATCCTTCGCCGAAGGTTGGGTGGACGACGTCGCTAGCGAAGTTGCCAAATGAGCCGCTGGTACTCAGTGCGGGTGAAGAAACTGGGTAAGATTCCGAATCTAGAAGCTGAGCTTGGCTCGCAAATCTCTTGTGTCCAGAGCCTGGAGAGAAATTTACTGCTTGAAAGCTGTCCGTAATGGTGCTGAAGCTTGCAGCGGTCGTGGAGCTTTCGCCGCTTCTGCCGGTCCTCGGGGCCAGGGAGTCAGTAGGGGAAGTCTGCACCGCGTGTTCAAGGCTTCCTGGAGCTAGTCTTTTCACCTTCAGGTCTGGAGTCCTACTCTCAGTATCGGTTGAGGATGCCCTACTAGTCCGTAAATCTCCTGATATATAGAGCTTTTCCCCTCGCGTCTCGCTAATTCATATCAGTCTATTTTCTCCCATGATGCTGCTTGCTATATAGGGGATTGTGAACCACTCACTGCCGGTGTAAGTGGCGGGCTAATAAGTCTGGTCGATGGAAAGCTCGCTCGCAATCTTCAAAAGTGCAAGTATATGCAGGTTTTTGGTGGCTTAGTTGATGGCGTCTGCAAACCTCGTCAGGATGGATTTGTAGCTGTATAGATGAAAGATACAGCTTACCTCAGGTGCTCGGCTCTAGTGAATTTCTAGCAAAAAATGAGATGGGTTTCATCATCTCGCGAAAGCAGATGTTTGCATACCTTGACTGGTCTACACATGTCACATGTATGGACTGGTACACCCTTCTTTGCCTTGCTGATACGTCCCGTGACTGGTGTGTATTTGACAGGCATGTCAGCCGCGAGTTCTGGGCCACTCGAGGACAGCCTGGGACCCCTCGAGTTGCTCGTCTGGCTTGAACACCCTGCTTGAAAACCTGAATTGAAGTCCATATATTCCCCGGTAGGACTGCTACGCCGTCGTTTTATACCTTGACGGACTGCTGTAGGTTGGCTAGATGGTTTGGAGACTCGATTGGATATGCGCCGCTTGAGAGGAGTCTGGCCTGTGTTGATATCGACAGTAGTTGGGGGTGTCTCGGTTGATGGAGTGGTAAGAGGAAGGGAGTCTTGTTGTGGGGTGGCTTCCCTGGGCCTTCTGTAGGCCTGGGATTCCAATAGCTTAACGTCGACATCCATGATATCTTTGAGGCTCGACATGACGCCGGAGTCTATTTGGAAAAGAGGTACTCTGTGGATCCCTACAGCCTTACTTAAAGAGCCGACTAGAATAGATCTGTCGGGGCCAAATGCTCAGCGCGGAGACAAGTAGTGACAAGGGAAAATCTTGATACCAAATGTCTGGGATGGACCTGCGAGGGTTCAGGGTGTTATTCTCTCTGTCTCTATGACAGGTAGAAAGTAGCTTTGATCTTCAATTTCCCGAGCCAGTTGCGCAGTGGGTGTCCAAAGATAGCAGGTATCGGGGGGGGGAGGGGGCATTGCTGAGCGTGGGGAGTATGTTTACAAGAAAAGAATGGTGGAGGTGAAGAGACGGAGGTTAGAAGACGACTCGGCCTCCCCCTGTCCCTCTCCCCATGTTGATGGACGTACGTACCAATAGGGAGTTTAATCCTTACCAGAACATGGCTGTCGTTCGCCCTCACGAGGGAGCTGAGTTGCAGAAGCATCGATAAAACCCACAAATAGCCGATGGAAAGTCATGTCAACTGCAAAAGACGGGCTAAGTGCCAGAACAAGCGAGGAAGCTTGGGTCGGTCGCTCGCGTCGTCGTCCCAGGTTTGCACGGTCGGTCAGACTTTCAGACTTCAGACTTCAGACTTCAGACTTCAGACTTCAGACTTCAGACTTCCAGTCTCCAGACTCCAGACGTCCAGACTTTCAGACTTTCAGACTTTCAGACTTCCAGTCTCCAGACCCCAGACTTCCGGACTTCCCGGGTGCGGGCCGTCCCCTGCCCTTGTAAGCTGTAAGTGCTTACTCTGGGCCACAGTAATAAGACATACATACCTGCCGTCTGTTCTGATGGGACCAGCGACTCTGCGCCTCTTCTTCGAATATCATACGTATCAGTCCGAGTGAACTTCGCTTCGTACTGGATTATCAAACAAAGCCGCCAGTGTTGGAAGCTGAACAAGATCAAGGGCGAGGATAGACAGCCGCAATGAAGATGTGCACCGTCAATTCTCTTGCATCCACTGAGGTATGATCCGGTCCAGCCCGAGCTGATTGGCTCATAGTAAGAACGATAAGTTGAGCTGAACAGTGGTGGAGCTCTATCCGTAGTGCTATCCGCTGCATACCTGCCAAGGGGGCCGCCGTTACGCTGGCAAAGATTGCTTTTGGGGGGGTGCTTCTTTCAGCTTCTCCTTCGGAACCCTCCCGGGAACAACAGAAAGAAGAGCAGGGATAGAAGACCAACATGGGTACTCGAGCCGGCCCAGAATAGGAGCACCGTCGCGTTCAAACGGGCTAGTAGTACTGTAGAAGCAGGTTTGCGGTTGCTGGACCGAGCTGTCAGGGCGTCTGTTGAGAGCTGCAGAGAGAGCTTGGTGCATGGGTAAGGAACCAGTAGCCCATGACCACGCATGCCAAAATGCCAATGCCACACCCAGTGCGACCCCATCCGGAGCCCCAACGAGATCATCCGAAGTTCGAACTCCGTGACTGGCTTGATAATTTCGCAGCTCTCCTGACCTGAATCTCTGTTCTTATTCTTGTGCAATTGAAAGGCAGTGCTGGTTTCAGGAATCGGTTCGCTTGTGTTGAGACCAACCACTCTTCGGCCAACGTTGGCATCTTGGACCTTGATCTTTGTAGTAAGATGAATATCCTTAATCTACAGGCTCCACGGCACCTCCTCATTTCTCAAGGCATCAGCTCTTCCTTTCCAGCCGGACTATGTTTCGCTTCTGTTCCTCTCTCTCCTCGGTCCCAGTGTTGATATTGAAATGAGCAGCATGAATCTCCCGAAAAAGGTCATCTGCCGTGATATTCTTCAGAGGACGAGAAAACGGACCAGTAATCTCAGTTGTCAAGCTGTCCGTGTCGATCGGTACCGGCAGGTGAGCTCTCAATACCAGAACAACCGAGTACCTGTAATTGTCCCGTGGAGTCGTGGATCGTCCGGAGCTCAGTGCTGGATTCGGGTATGAGCAAACTTGATGCCTTCCGGCCTGGTAACGATCATTAGATAACCGTTCAAGTTGCCGACCAACAAGCAGACTGCCTTTGGGGGTCTTATAGCTTTGCTCTATGGGGAACCAGCAGTTGGCTCGAGTGTCTCTGACTTCTAACCCTGGTTTGTCACCGATGACAAGACTGAGCAAACCCAGATCCACATGACCTGTATCATCGGTAAGTACTACGTGTAAAGCTTGGGGGTCAGTGAAGCTTACTTTCAGCCACAACCTCACTCCGCTTGCCCTCGAATCCCTCGTATCTAAAAAGTCGCAACATGGTGGCCGTCTCCTCTTCTCCCAAAGTCGTGCATGGCTTTGAGAACACGGTCAACGCTTCTGCCGGCAAATCCAAGCTCTCCGCAACTCTCCCAACAGTCTCATTTAAGAGGACACTCGCTTCATTCCAGTACGTTTCAGCTGCGTCCTTCAACTCGTCAGGCGTGTTGCCAATTGTCCGCAAAGTGATAAACTCCTTCTCTCCCTGCACCCGACTCCAGCCTTCTTCGCTACCTTGCTCAGTCTTAAAAGTCTGCTTGTACTTTTCTGGGAGGTCGAAAAAGGCTCGGCTCGCATTTAAAAGACGTTCGAAGCTGTCGTGTAGAGGATCGGTCGATTTTTGACTCAGACCAATTGTTGTCCAACCTTGATCTGAAAGTGCCAGAACATGGTCGGGACTTACTCGCGGTAACGCAACAGGTTTCAGTGATGGCAGAATCCCCTTTGCCTCACCCTTGGATTGTTTTTGGCGCTTGCTGCCAATATTCGCAGTGAGTGATTTGACAGAGTTCAGAAATGCCATTTTGAGAGCGCGTGAATTGGCAGCAAGGAAAAAAATGGTGTTGAGGAAAGAAATTCCTTGATAGGAAATATTTTCTGTCCGCGGGAATTGACATCATTTCGTAAGTCAGTCGCTGCAGTGGGAGGGGGCTTAGCGTCAAAGCCACCCATTCAGCCCCTCGAGGCAGCAGTCTGTGAATGGGGCTGGGGGATCTGAGTAAGAGCGATAGCTTTCATGACGCTTGCTGTGAGTAGTTTTTATACGTTGCATTGGCTAAGGAAACCACTCACCTCGGTGTGTGCCATGCTGTCACTATCTTGTGATTTGAAAGCGAAACCGTTACAATCGGCCTCTTGGATAAACAGCATCGCTTAGGACCTATAAGGGATCCCTAATTATCAACTCTTCTCTAGCCTAGACCTTGATCCCGTAACTCTCGTACGGGAAATTTTCCAGGCTCGGGAGAGTCACGCCCCATCCATCGCCCACCTTACCTAGCTGCTCTTCGTCCCCAATCGGAACAAGTCCAATTCTACCCGCAAGAACCTGCTCCTCTCTTCCCTTGAATTCTAGGGCTAACATTGGATGCGGAACCCAAACGACTCTCATCTTCGCCCTCCGTCCAGCCTCGACTCCAGGAACCGCGTCTTCAAACACCAAGCATTCCTCCGGCGTGATTGGTCTCTCGCCTGCTGGAAGGCTGTCATTGATAGACTGCAAAGCCATCAAGAAAATATCCGGTGCTGGCTTCCCTCTACCTTCCTTCAATCGGGGATCATCCCCCAGAATCCGGCGGTCACTGGGGAAAACTCGGAACGTCTCGTTTGTCTCTTTGCTCTGAGCTTTCAAGGCAAAGTTCTCCTGGCTTGTACTTGAAGCCAGTGCCATGTGCACTTTCTCGCCGTTGGTATTGTATGCTTTCTCGAGGTGTGATAGAAGTGCTTCAACGCCAGGAAGAGGCTTGCAATCCGGGAACCGTGATCGTTGAATCTCTTTCTGCTCAATCACATACTGCTCTCTAGAAATTGGCAGTTGAGCCCACTCGTAGAATGGAGCGCCCGTAGATGATCCGGGAACTCCCATCATTTTTGCCTTTACCGACCATGGCAAAGCTGGTCTACCGTAGCGCTCCAACAGGAGGTTTGCACAGATTGTATATATGTCTTCCTGCGGGATGTTAGCGAAAACCCGATTCTACGAGAGAGAAATACTAGCCGTATTTATCAGCAAGCCATCCATGTCAAAAATACAAGCCCTGATTGGGGAAAACCTGTGGATTCTTATTAGACATAGCACTTTGACAAGCTGGCTGTAGGGAGCCAGGAGTAGTCCCGTGGCCTGTCCTCAGCATCAAGCGGTGTGGTTGCTTACTCTGGGACGGTTGAACCCATGGTGACAAGTCTCAAGTTTCTGGATCTCAGTCGCTGTTAGATGAGGTGAAGTTACCTGACCTATTTATCTGGTGGTATTTGCTGGAATTTATATTTGGGAGAAATTGAGAGTTATAAAATTTTGCAGTATTTAAGCTTCGCGAATCATGTAAGGCACGTGGGAGACTCAACATTAATTTGTAAATCTCCAGTCAAGCTCTGATACAGCCTCCAGATGATTTTCCGTATCTTGAGGCGGACACGATTGCAGGCAAACGTCGTGGTCATCATGTTCGTCGTCGTTATAAGCCCTAGTAAAAGTGGAGGCCTCGCTCGAACCCCTTCAAGCGAATGAAGCCACAACTCGCTGCTCATCATCAACAACACTGTCTCAATGTCTTCAAAATCCTCTCCCCAAATCCAAGACAAGATCAAACAACCCTCATCCTCAGCCATTGGTGCAGTGCTCCTTATAGCTCAACAATTCGGCTCGCGAGGCCTCACATTCGTCGTCAACCAAATCCTGCTGCGCTACCTCTCTCCCGAGCTCCTGGGGATCTCCACCCAACTAGAAGTCTACTCTATCACCGTCCTCTTCTTCGCGCGGGAGAGTCTACGTGTGGCTTTACAGCGACAACCTGATATCCTTGATTCATCATCTGAAAAAGATAAGGATACGGATGAAGATGAACAAGTTGGGAATGAGAAATTCCCAGAGAATCACGTGGACGCCAACACGAACGCTGGTCGCACCCAAGCCATCGTGAACCTCTCCCACGTATCGATATACCTTGGTATAATCTTCTCTCTCATAGTAGGATGGCTGTATATATACACCTTGGCGAAGGGAGACCCGATCGTTTTAGCGACGCCGTATTTCAGGGAGGCATTGAAGATTTATGGCGTGGCTGCTATCTGGGAACTGCTAGCTGAGCCTTGCTATGTTGTTGTGCAACATAAATCGAGGTTTGGGATCAGAGCTTCTGCGGAACTAATGGCTACGGTGTCGAGGTGTCTCGTTACTTGTGGCTCTGCAATATGGGCGTCACGGACTGGGAGGGACATTGGAGTCTTACCGTTTGCGTTAGGGCAGGGCATGTATGCTGTGTCATTGTCTCTAGTGTACTACTTGAAGGTCGGGAGAATCGCAAGAGAAGGTGGTTTCTCACTGCTTGCGAAGAGGATATACTCCCGGTACGTCTCATCCCCTCCGTCCCACAACCATCTTGTTGACTCTAGGATGACTACCTAGCGACACCTCAGCCTTCATCTTCAACCTTCTCTCTTACCCTCTTCTGAAACTCGCCTCAAGCTTCTTCATCCAATCCCTCCTCAAACATCTCCTAACACAAGGCGACACCATTCTCATCGCCTTCCTCGCCACCCCGCAAGCGCAAGGTATCTACGCCCTAGCCGCCAACTACGGCGGGCTCGTCGCCCGCCTCCTGCTCCAACCCATCGAAGAAATATCCCGCAACTCATTCGGCAAGATCCTGTCCTCCGTCGATGGCAAACCAGCGAAGGCTCGCGTGACGGAAGTCAGAAAAACCCTGTTCATGCTGCTACGCTCCTACGTGCTCTTCTCGGCGTGCGTGGTGGCGGTCGGACCGAGTATCGCACCGCTGCTGCTGAAGATTGTGGCGGGCGCGCGGTGGACGAGTTCGGGCGCGGGCCATGTCCTGGCAACGTACTGCTACTACATCCCGCTGCTGGCCATTAACGGGCTGACGGAGGCGTTCGTTTCGTCTGTGGCGACAAAGTCGGAGATCCACAGACAGACGGTCTGGATGATTGCCTTCTCTGTGGGGTTTGCCGGCGCCTCGGTTTTCTTCCTCCGCTTCCTGTCGCTAGGAGCGGAAGGCTTGGTGTGGGCGAATGCTCTTAACATGCTGTTTCGCATTACCTGGAGCACCGCATTTATACAGTCCTACCTACACCGCTACGAGAGTAGGTTTTCATTCGGTGAACTTCTTCCTAAGCCTTTGACGATTGCTGCGGGCGTCGGTACATACGCTGTGCTGGCACAGCTGGAATCTGGGTTTACTGGCGGAATCATGGATATTATTAAAAGCGGAAGCATAGCTGCGGTATTCTTAGTACTGATGTGAGTTTTGTATTCTTCCTCGTCGTCTATCTAACCCAGTGCATACACATCTCTGCAGTACAACAAGCTTACTTTTGACTGACTGAAACAACCAACAGCTGCGTGTCCGAACGAGACTATCTCGTATCATGCTACCACCAATTTCGAGGCCAGAGCGCATGAATCAGATATCAATCTATCAACGGACCTAGGGCAAGGATCGTCGATCCAGCAATCAATCAAAAGTGATCTTTTTCGCCTTCTTGCTCATATCTACGTCTTTAGCGAAGGCGCCGTAGGCTTCATGCTCCTTTCTCTTGACCGTAGTGCCGAACTTCAGGAGGTCGGCTGGGACTTCTTGGTTCGCTGCTTTTAGGACGTTGATCAAACTAAATTGCATTAGCATAGGATAAGGGTGGCTGCGATGGGGAGGTGTAAACGTACGATCCCGAAAGAGCTTTATCTTGCTCGGTGAAGAAGGTTATAGCGAGGCCATCCAAGCCGGCTCTGCCTGTTCTCCCGATGCGGTGAACGTAGTCCTCTACTGTGAGAGGGAAGGTAACCTGGATACCAATTAGCCAAGATTCAGCACAATCCGGAACAACGAGAAAATATTCACGTTGATAACAAGCTGCACAGCGGGAATATCCAACCCTCTAGCTGCCACATCCGTCGCCACCAGAATCGGCGTCGTCCCCTTCTTGAACGCATCTAGACTCCTCGTCCTCTGCTCCTGGCTCAAATCCCCGTGAATGCCCGCTACTCGGAAACCTTTCATCTTGATGAACCCCTCCAATCTCGTAGCCTCCTTCTTGTACAGTGCGAACACCAGGATACGGTCGTCTTTCTGCGCGCCGCTCTGGTACTGCTTAAGAAGCTGCAGCAATCTGTATTCCTTCTGTCTACCATCCATCACCTCGACTTTCTGCACAATGCGCGTGTTGGCGCGCAAGTCTCCTGTGGGGTTATCGCCAATCGCGATCTTGACTGGGCTGGTCATGAAGGTAGATGCAAGAGCGCGGACGGACTCTGGCCATGTCGCTGTGAACATGAGGGTTTGGCGTTGGCCGATGGGGAGGGTCATGTTGATAATCTTGCGGATCTCCTCTTCGAATCCCTTGTCCAGCATGCGGTCTGCTTCGTCCAATACCACATAGTTGGCTTTACTGAGATCCGCGCAGCCTTCGTTGATTAAATCGTTCAAACGACCTGGAGTCGCAACAACAATATCTGCTGTCTTCAACGCTTGGCGCTGTTGGTCTTTGGGCACGCCGCCATATACACACACGGCCTTTAAGCCAGAGACTTTGGCGAGTTCCATGATCTGGTCATAACTCTGCATTGCCAACTCCCTTGTCGGCGATACAATGACAGCCCTGGGACCCTTATTTCTCTGGCTTGCCGGGAGAGCTAGGATTCCGCGTACACAGGGAACTGCGAATGCCATCGTCTTTCCTGACCCAGTCTCTGCGACTCCGATAACGTCTCTTCCGGAGAGTAAGAAGGGCCATGCTGCGGCTTGTATAGGCGTGGGCGCCTTGAAGTTCTTGAAGGGGGCTCGTTGCGCAGGGTCGGTGATGGGGAGGAAATCGAAGGCCGTCAAGGGTCGGAGTTTTGCGAAGGTAGGGAGGGGATCCGTGACGGAGATGAAGTTTTCTGCGAGGAACTTGTCAACTTCGGATTGAGGGAGAGCTATCAAGCCAGCAGCTTCTGTGTAGCCGCTATCGGATTTCCCATCCGCGGCTGGCGCAGAGGTCCTAGTTTCCGGTACTGTGGTCGCAGCTTCCGTTGTTTCTTCTGGCTTGTTCTTCTTCGCCTTCTTCAAAGCTTTCAATTTGGCCTTCTCTGCCTTCTTCGCCGCCTTCTCGTCTACCACTTCCTCAACCTTCGTGTCCTCCTTCGTGTCCTCGGTTTCCGCTGGAGTCTCTGCCGCCTCGGCCTCAGCCAGTTTTTTCAGCTTCTTCAAGCGTTTCTTCTCCTTCTTCGCTGCCTTTTCCGCATCAACATCTACCTCCGTGGTGGTAGTTGCCTCTACCGCAACCTTCTTGCTTTCTTTTTTGCTCTTTTTTGAGGCTGGCACATTTTCAACCGTCGATTGGCCTCCGATGGAGATTTCCGCATCATCTAAGCTTCGTTTACCCATTGTTGCTGTCTGGTGTCAAGTCCTTGTTAAAGTAGCGAAATGTGATGGGAATTTTGGAATAAAAATCAATTCGGACCTGATAAGCTTTTGGGTGCGGCCGCTAGTAGATTCTGGCAACTAGCACTACGACTTCTTGCTGTTGATCCCTGTCAGAATGATCAGAGGCAAGATTATTTTTTGGTCTGGGCAGATCAATAAATAGATCGGTGGTAGGTAGATAGATTCCATTATTGGTGTGGTATCGGTGTTTCTTCCACTGAATGGAAGATTTTGTACAATTGTAATGTCCAATGCGTTTCCGCGACATTCATAAAGTGCTCAATGTGTCCAGACCCTGCCGCTTTCTTGATTAAAGCTGGTCTTCGCCACCCATACCCCCAAACAAGTGCCCGATCGTGAAAAATGAACTTGCAAATCCACAATTGCCGAATTTCTAAGATCAATTTAGGTACCAAAAAGGGTCCCGACAACTCCAACGCCATGTAGCCACACCCATCCCCAAGCTTACGCGGTCACGGTTTGAGATCCAGTAGGCTCCATCACTGTCTCTACATCAATCTTTGGCATGCTCGATCCGGTTCCGCCGAGATTAGTCGAGCGGGCGTTTGGGTTCTTGGAGTAGTAGTTCGTGATAGCGGACTTGATGGCATCTTCGGCAAGCATGGAGCAATGGACTGTTCATCGTTAGCTATTGATGAAGACGCGGATACCGGACAGCAAAGGACTTACGCTTTACAGGAGGTAAGCAGAGCTCCTTTGCAATCTCTGTATTGCGAACTCGGCCAGCCTCCTCCAAAGTCATACCCCGTACCAGCTCAGTCAAATAAGACGACGATGCAATGGCTGATCCGCATCCAAAAGTCTTGAATTTGACATCGGAAATGGTGTTATTTGTGGGGTCGACCCGGATCTGCAGCTTCATCACATCTCCGCATGCTGGCGCACCGACAAGACCAGTTCCTACGTCGGCATCGGCCTTTGGCATGCTTCCAACATTGCGAGGTCGGGAATAGTGATCGAGGACCTTCTCATGATATTGTCGTCGGCCTGCAACTGCGATGGAGGACAATATTTGAGGAGGGGCGAGTCTGGTGGCGGGTCTGACAGAGGCCGATAGCATTTGGCCAGCAGCACGAGGAGCGGCCGAAAGGGCTCTTCTGAACATTCTTGAGGTTTTTAATAGATCTTGTAGTTGTGGAAGGTAGTTGTTAGGATGCGGGTGTGGTCTGCGGTAGAGGGTCGATAGATGTGTGCGGTGTGAGGCGGTACTGTAGGAAGGAGATGATGGCAAAACTTGATGTCTATATTTGGTGTTTCCCCATGACGCCCGCTAAATTATTTGCTAATCAGGTCAGATCAGATCGGTACTGGTCATGTGACATGTCCTAGGAGGTGGGTCGCCCAGGGGGTTGTAAGCCGAAAACAGAAAACAGGTCCCATCAGAAGTGGGAGGAGAGGATGATCATTAGTCTCAGAGGCGAGGAAAGTCTACCGTATCTGTACACCGGTATACTTCTTGGTGCCACTAGGAAGTCGTGACGTAATCAATACTGTATGGATGCTTCCTACCACGAACCTTCTATAAATCAAGGTCAGACCCAGTTTAGCTCCATAAATTGTAGAGCGGTGATTTCTGAATGGCTTAAAGCCCTGTCAACTCCATTGCACAGACTAAATACTGGCTCAAAGATACTTTTCAAGGCTGAATGAAATCCTTATACCATCCATTTGAATATCTGTAGTACTGTCGGACCTAGTTTAGCTTCAAAAATCGTAAAGCGGTGATTTCTGAATGGCTCAAAGCCCTGTCAACTCCATTGCACAGACTAAATACTGGCTTAAAGATACGTTTCAAGGCTGAATGAATCCTTATACGTAGTAAGTTGATCGGTTTAAGAGCTGGTACTCAAGATCACTCGCAAATTATACTTTCGATATGTATTCGACGGGTCCGGTCCCAGGCTTCAAGACGGTAAAGTACTGTAGTAAAGTACGGTAGTACAGCGGCAAGTGATTCTAGGGCCTGAAGTGAGGCCCGGAATTCTGTATTGTATTGTATTGTATGGTATTGTATTGTGTAGTGCTGTATCGTGTCGATTATGTCTGAGCTGCACTGAAGTGAACTGACCGTTCCTTTATGGCACCAGAGTGGATAGATACCTTTACCCAGAGAGTTCCATACGTTACTGACAAAGAGACAGGGGTACGAGTACAGTAATACTGCTGTATGACGGGGCTTATCGGTACGGGGTATCGGGGTATCGGGGTATCGGTGCTTGCAGGGCTGAAGGTGGGGATGGGTGTGTAGGGAGGGGTCTTTGCAGCTTGGTTTTCCACCCCGCGTCGACAGCTTCTATTCATACTCCGTACTTTACTACCTGCCAGCAACTGTTGAGACTCTCTGCAATATCAAAACATCAAACTTCAAACTTCAATCCAAACTCGGCCAATCCACGAAAATGGCCTGCAATCATGTCAACGCAGCAGGTAAGCAAGCAAGCATTCCCTACTCCTTTCTTGCAAACTCTCTCCACATCATCTGCGAGAAAGCCTGCGGCCGTCGCTCGAATCATATCAGGAAGCCTGGGGACATTCGACCGACCCCCGCTGTACATCATATACCTACTGCATACCCGGTGCTGTTACGTCGCGTCAGCTTCGCTGCAAATACGTGTCTATGACCTCGGATAATATCAGGTAGAGCTCTAGTCTAACATCGGATAGAGTTGCGACCTCCCGGAGTCAACCAATCTGTCTACCGCGAAGATTGTACCCAATGTTTCGATTCCATAGTAAGCCTTGCCAGCCCACCGCTACGCCTCCACCTTCCAACGAACCATACAAGAGGCTCTCTGTGGTGTGGGCTCGAATCTAACTCAATATCAGGATGATCCTACTGGCCTCGATGTCTGCCTTTACTGCTTCAACGGTGGCTGCACAGGAGACAGAAAGCATGCCGCCCTCCACCACGTCCTCACGTCTCACCCCTTGGTCCTCAACATTAAGCGCACCCGAAAAGTAGTCATCCGCGACGAGCCCCCTCAGAAGATGTCGAAGCTGTCAATTGCTGCGGAAACCGAGGCCGATCGATATGACTACGAGACGACCGTCCGATGCTACACATGCAACATCATTGATGTAGACAAGTCGCAGGGGAAGCTTGCCGCGGTAGTAGACGGAGTAATGAAGGCCAACACATTCTCCAGAAAAGAAGAAGTCAAAGCGTGGGAACAGGTCTTCACCTCATGTGAACATATCCTCACGCTTCAACAACATCCGACGCGCAAAATCGAGTCTCAAGACCTTGGTCACTGTTCTCTTTGCGATCTGAAGGAAAATCTCTGGCTCTGCTTGGAATGTGGCAACTTGGGCTGTGGTCGTGCTCAGTTTGGAGGCATGCAGGGACATTCTCACGGACTAGAACATAGTACATCTGCAGGTCACGGAGTTGCGGTCAAGCTGGGGTCCATCACACCAGAAGGCACAGCAGATGTCTACTGCTATGCCTGTGATGAGGAACGCATCGATGATGATCTTGGTGCGCATCTCGCTCACTGGGGTATCATTCTTGCTGAGCGTGAAAAAACCGAGAAGACTCTGACAGAAATGCAAGTTGATGAAAATATGCGTTGGGAGTTTGACATGACTGATGAAGCAGGTCATGAATTACAAAAGCTGTTCGGCGAAGGTCTCACAGGCTTGAAGAACTTGGGCAACAGCTGCTATTTGGCAAGCAGTCTGCAATGCCTGTTCTCTTTGCCTCAATTCCAGGAGCGCTACTACCTGTCTGGCAATGATCTTCCGATTGTTGATGATCCCGCTCAAGATCTTGAGACCCAGTTGCGAAAGCTTGGCGATGGCCTGCTCTCTGGACGATACTCGCGCCCGGATCCAGACGTCCGTACTGATGACTCGAAGCTTGCTGACCAGAGAGGTCTGGCTCCTGCAATGCTCAAGGTTTTGATTGGAAAGGGACATGCGGAGTTCTCCACGATGAGACAACAAGATGCTTTTGAGCTTCTTCTTCACCTTTTTAAACTCATCACGCGTTCTCAACACAAGGCTTCTTTGCAAGATCCAACAGAGTCGTTCAGATTTCTCATGGAGCAACGTCTGCAATGTTTGGGCTGTAAGAAAGTTCGCTATCGTACTGACGAGCAAGATAACATCTCGGTACCTGTTCCAGTCCGGAAGATTGAGAAGGCAGTAGCTAGCGGCGCTGAAGATCAGGTAGTTGAGTACGAAGCTGTTACTTTGAAGGAGTGCCTGGATATCTTCACAGGTGCTGAAATGGTAGAGCTCACCTGTGCATCTTGCGGCAGCAAGGCTGGATTCACAAAGCGGTCGCTGTTCAAGACCTTCCCCGATGTCCTGGCTATCAATGCTCGAAGATTTGCTTTGGTCAATTGGGTTCCTACTAAGCTCGATCTCCCTGTAATCGTCGGCGACGCGCCATTCAACCTGGACGACTATAAATCTCTGGGCCCCCAAGCATCCGAGGAACTTCTCCCGGAAGACGCCAGCGAAAGTACGAAGCCGTCCTTCGTCGCCAACGAGGAGGCCGTACAAGCACTGGAAAGTATGGGCTTCTCCCGTAACCGCTGCGAGAGAGCTCTGCATGCTACCGGCAACTCAGATGCCAACACTGCCATGGAATGGCTCTTCGCCCACATGGAAGACGCTGACATCGACGCACCCTTGGACATTGGTAGTGGCGGCGGAGCCCCAGCTGGTGCTGACCCCGAGAAGATCGATATGCTGGGAGCCATGGGTTTCGGTCCTCCTCAAGCTCGCAAGGCGCTGAAGGAGACCGGAGGCGATGTGGAGAGAGCTGTCGAATGGTTGTTTAGCCATCCGGATGAGCAGGGCGATTTCGAGGATGATGTGGCACCTGGTTCTGAGACGGTTGCGGAGAAGAAGGAGGCTGGAAGTGGTGATTTGCCTGCGACTTTCCAGCTACATTCGATCATCTGCCACAAGGGTGCCAGTGTCCATTCTGGGTAAGTCCGCCCCTGTCGCACGTCTACCAAAAGAAAAGTGGAATGACTAACACAATGTGCAGTCACTACGTAGCCTTTGTGCGCAAGCTTCTCCCCGGTGAGAGCACTTCGCAATGGGTGCTTTTCAACGACGAGAAGGTCGTCAAGGCCACCGATGTCGAGGACATGAAGAAGTCTGCCTACGTCTACTTTTTTCAGCGCAAGTAGATTTAGATCTTTGCGTGGGGGCATGGCGGTGGTGTTGAGGGCGTTTCTAAGGCCGATAAAAGTCTGGCAGCGAGTGGTAGGTAGCCCACTCCCCATTCCCTCCCACTTGAGGGGGTGGCTCGCCAATTTTACACTGGAGATCATCCATTATTCGGCATTTGAAGTGCTTCTGATGACCATTAAATGGCGAGAATGTGATGACCGTAGGATCTTGTTATATGAACCAAACGTTTCCGGGACGACTCGAAGTCTGACGCGTAATTGACGTGTTCCATGAAGTCAACGTGAATTACTTATTAATCAATGTAAAATGCTACATTAGAATGGAAATGTCCAGTAAGCGAGCGGGAGGGGGAGGGATTCTACGTTCACAGGTTGAGCTTCTATAATTGCATCGAGAAACACAGCAGAACACACGGAAGGACGGAAGATAGAACGTGTGGCAGAAACAAGCCTGCTTCACTGTCAAGCAGAGGGCAAGCGTGTATCGGATTTGATCCTATTGCAGGAGCTGTTATCTAGCTGGCTCAAGATATCTAGACCATCTCTTCTTCTGCAGCATAGTGCAGATATGCACCCAGCAGCTTGATACCTTCAATGTAGTTTCGCTTGTCAAGCTTCTCGTTGATGGAGTGAGCAGCGTCAGTCGAGCTACCCATTGGGAGCAGCAGGACGTTCTTGCCGATGGCTTGCTCGAAGGTCAGTGTCACTGGGATGCTGTGGCTGTTGTCAATATACAGATCATAGGGAGAAAATCAGCGGTTATAGTTAGCTTACCTTCCACCTTCTCTGGTCAGATCAGGCTTGACGCCCCATACTCGCTCTACTGCTTTTCCAGCAGCGCTGAAGTTCCAGTGCTTGGGGCTTGCAACCCACCACTTACCGGCATGTTGCAAAGTGCAGCTCATTTTGTTCTTGCTGCCCAGCTTCTTGAACTCGTCGTTGACATACTTGAAGACCAGCCTATCTACGTCCGCTGGCTCCATGTTGGGGACTGTGCGGATAGAGAACTTTCCGATGACTTTAGCTGGGATGACGGTTTTGGCACCTGGTTGCGAGAATGCGCCCTCAATACCGTGGACTGAGAGGGAGGGGTATCTCCAGCGAGCCATGAGAGTCTTCTCCTTGTCGGGGTGGATCGAGGTCTTGCTGCCGAGAGACTCGTACAGGTTGTCCATTGTGAACGCAATGTCTCCGTAGAGGGACTTCTCTTCCTCTGTAAGAGGAGCAACAAGCTCAGCCAGACCTGGAATTTGGATCTTTCCGTTTGTGTCGACCAAAGTTCCAAGCACTCGCACCAGGTCAGTCATTGGCTCCTGGGCAGTGCCACCGAACACACCGCTGTGGAGATCTTGACCTGGGCCGGAGATCTCAACAGAGTAGTAACTGCAACCGCGGAGACCGTATGTCAGGCATGGCTTCTCAGTTCCTAGCCAGTAGTTATCCGATATGCAGACCGCATCGGCGTCAGCAAAATACTTCTTCGCCTCCACATTGATGAAGTCGTCTAGACCTTCAGAGCCATACTCCTCCATACCCTCGAAGCACATCAAAAGGTTGACTGGAAATTCCACACCAGCCTTCTGGTGAGCCTCAATGGCATTCAACCACCCCAAAACCGGCCCCTTATCATCCGTGCTACCACGTCCATACATGCGTCCCTTATCGTCCACCGTGAGCTCGAACGGCTCCGTTGCCCACCCGTCTTCCTTCCCAGCAGGCTGAACATCATAATGTCCGTATACTAATATCGTCCTCTTCTTCTTGTCATTTCCGTACCGAGCAATGACGACCGGGGGGAGCTCGAGGTCCGTCTTTCCTGGTTGTATGCCCAAGGGTCGCTGCTCTACTTCTGCTCCGAGGGCTTTGAGTTCGTCGGCGAGGAATTGTCCCATGCGGACGACCTCGGGACGGCGCTCATCCTCAGCGGAGATGGAGGGGATAGCGACGGCTTTGCGCAGTCGCTCTATGAAGTGGTCGGAGAGGTCGTCGACCTGCTTGAAATAGCTGTCGAGCTGGGGCGCCATCTTCCGGGCTTGGTGAGACCGGATGGTATCTGTGAGGTAGGTTTGGCGTTGAGGTTTGAAGAGATTGTATGGCTTCGCAGACTGTGGGAGGGGGCTTCGAGAGAATTTCTGTAGTTTTGTCAGATACCTTGACGACTTGTAGAGAAACATGGATTCTAAGGTTGAACTAAGCTACTCAGGGTATGGGAGCTCCTTCCCCTTTAGAGATGTTCTCATTGGCTCCTTTTCCATGCGAATGAGGGGTCGAACGAAATGCGGGGCTTTGTGGGCTTTACCGTAACGAGTAATTGTGAGGCGGCCCGCCATTTTCACCTGATTTCGCTTAATCAAGTAGGCGAAAATGGTGGGCCACATCGCAATTATATCAACGACACTTTTGTTTACTCGCCAAGGTCGTCAGAATGCCTCGGCTTCGTCAGCAGGCAACGGACCCATCGCCGAGGCTATGAACGTTTCTTACTCCGAATCAGAAGTATAGGTGGGTCCGTGCAGAGCTTTACCACCGAGACGGTTGCAAAGGCTGAGCTTCCAGGGGTTGCCAACCTCATAATCGCAACAAAGTGCACTTTTTCCTGGCGGTTTTATTTCATGCCTTTTGGAACGTCGTCCCAGCCAACCGCGAGTGGTCTTGCCGGGGCTCACTATATAGAGGGCACTTTCAATATATTACCAAGCGATCTGTAGTGTAGTGTAGTGTAGTGTAGTATAGTATTGTTTTGACGTCTGCTACGGCTCCTAAAAAGGAGTCCGACTTACCACCTTCTTAAGGGTTTACAGAGTAATGACGTGCCGGCGTCAGATCTTAACCTGAACACTCCGCAAAAGAAGGCGGTCTTACGTAACTAATAAAATGGTTCTTTACTTAGATACGAAGTTCACTTACGTAGTATATCGATAAGATTAAACTTACGAAAGAAAAAGGTTTAAATCGATATAAAGTTTCGGGGTTTTAATCCGTTTTTAACCCCGCGGTATCGCAGCTTTAATACTACTACTACGTACGTACTGTAGTACCGGTATATCTTAATGCTTTTTGTTGACGGCGATTCGTTACTGCTGGTTTAAGTATCACGGTCGCTTTTTATTGCGACTAGTTATCAGCAGCTCGATATACCGTCTTTCCGACCATTCAATCGAGTATCCGACTAAGGGTCTTCCTTCTTTTCTTCTCGTCCGACCTCTTATATCTATAAACGATTATAGTTATGAGCGTCTTCGAGCTAGCATCTGCTCAAAGTTCTTTTACCGCATAGCAATCTCGAGAGTTTCGAAGAGCTAGGCCGCTATCGTATCCTTTTTATTCTTTTAGCGTCTTTGTATAATCGATCGTAGACACCGCTCTGTCGCTAAAGGTGAATTTAGTCGTCGAATAGAGTCGTCGAGCTAAACGATAATATCGGGTTCAAGTTAGGCATCAAAAAGTATATTGTAATATCTATTTCGTACTTTTAATCGTGGTTCGTTCCGTCGGCAGATACGAAAAATACGGCCAGCATTAAAGTGTATCGCCTCGTTTACTCTTGGAAAGAGTGCGTTTCCTGATCGGCTCTACGAATATTATTGAGAATATCGCAGGTTCGTAGGCAGCGCCACGCACATGCTCAGAGATCCGTCTTCGCTGGCCACCAAGCGATCTGTAAAGCCCCGTTACATCCGTAAACTATAAAATCACGTGAAATACTAGGTTTTTGGGATATCTACGTAGTACCTAGTAGTACCACGGTACAGGCCTAAGTATTACCCCTCGAGGGTGCCTCAAAAGTTTAGCTTCCACTTTCCTTGAGGGGTAATACTTACTTACGCCTGGGACGTAGTACTACGTAGTACTTTCCCGAATCTGCACCTCTTGCCACGTTTTAAACTCAGGTTCCAAATCAATACGGCTTATCTTCTGAAATGATAGGGTCTCACTGCCGCACTTGATATCCGCCTCGCGATCTCACCTCCGACTTGGCATATTCGAAGTCAATAATGCACACTTTCCCCGTGTCCGGATCGATTAATGTGTCCCTCAGTCGTACATCGCCGTGTATCACTCACTCTGCACTAATGGCGTCGAGATCTGAGACGAATTTGGCGGAGATGTTCTCACACATATCAGTTGGTTGTAGGTAGCGAAGATACTCCTGCAAATACTCGACTGCAATTCCCGAGTACCAGCCACCACCTGTGCTGCTTGCATCCCTCCATTTGATGCTTCCATAGCATCTTGGAATGACATCTCCTTGCAACTTCCCCAGCGTCTCGTAAGCCCAAAGCTCATCCTCATTCTCGTCTTGAATGGGCTTTGCGACAAAGGTCTTGGGGAGACCAGGATTTGCCGGACCGATCACCCAGAAGAGGGCAATTGGCAGAAAATTGAAGATGAGGATGAGGTTGAAATGTGGCGCGAGAGGAAATGGTATATAGAAAGTGGCGCGAAAGTGACAGGTGTGCGCGCCGATGCAGTCATTGAACAACCGAATAGCCTTCCTCGAGAGGCGACAGATACGAACTGATCCAATATATATTTCAAGCCATAAATGAGTGCAGATCTTTTAAAGCAGCTCGGCATGGCTCGAAGGAAATGCATCATCGGGAACCTATCAACTTTATCAACTTTCACTTCTGCGCGCAAGAAGATGTAGAGATGATCTGTGGAGAGCAAATTCAGAACCCATCAAGTTCCTCTAATTGACTCTGATATGTCAGGACGATCCTCGTTTCAGCCGTAGAACAGAGAGAGATACTTGCATCCAAGACTTGCAAAATCTGATAGAGGACTCAGAATGCTGGGAATTCGGAGTTCCGCACTAGGTTTGGTGAGAGAGAGCCAGACTTGCAGCTAGCGAAGCTCACAACCTCTCTCGCTTAGTAATCAGGATTAAGCATATACCGGCAGGTCGGTAAGCTGATGACCTAATCAGCCCTATTCCAGATTATATCCCTTAGTAACCCATTAAAACATAGACATACTTCGTAGAGCCTGGGGAATACCTAAGACCTTGGAATCGGTTGCAATTTTCTTGAGAATTCGTGGGTGACTAGCGTGACGACAACCTTGGCATACCAAAGCTTCCGGTAGTCGTAGGGCAAGGCGGGAGCTTTAGGTAATCGACAATGCCGAGCGCTAAGGTACTTCGTATTGAAGTAATTGAATAGTCAGTGCGCTGACTGTGAATCTGCGGGCACTCGATTACAGTCGGTCGAAGCAAGTGTCCCATTTCAAATAGTATGCAAAGTCGGGTTGAAAATCATTACAAGTAAATCACGGTTTGTATCGTAAATGACTTTACAACGCAACAAGCTATAATACTAAAAATTATATCTACGTATCGGCGTCACGATCTTCCATCAGAACATCAAACATTAGGTATATAAATAAAATATTATAATATTATTGCGCAAAAGATTGGTTTTTCAAAAATGAAAACTCGTTGCAGCTTGTCGATTACTAAGCTGGAAAGGCTCCGGGACATCAAAATATCAGCTAGAATTGATGCGATTTGCAACCCGAATAAATCAATAATGCAACGAGCAATGATATTAGAAGATAGATGCAAGAAGCGGCGCAATCGAGCTCTATTTAATTATCGACTTTGTAAATATAAAGCTATTGATGAATGCAGCCAATATCGTAAGATATAGCTTTTTTCAATCGGAAACAAGTGAAATGGGGTGATACTTGCTTGGACTAGGACACTTGCTTGGACTGACTGTAACCGAGTGCCCGCGGGTTCACAGTCAGCGCACTGACTATTAGTTACCAAATGGATATGTTGAATTTTTTTTCCCGTCATTTTCCGCTTTTCGCGATTTAAATTGAGCTTGAAGTTTAATAAAATTAACTAGTCAAGGTTTGAGGGTTGAAGAAAAACTAGAGCCGAGTGGCATCATAGTAGGTAGTTCTAAACGTGACTTAGTAGGAAGTGAAAAGACCTTCGGAATAGCGCTTAGAAGAGTTATCAATCCGGCCCTCAGGCGAGTTGGATTCGCTGAGATCAAGTTCCAGGGCTTTGGCCGGCCCATTTCGCATTTCCATCATACGAAGTAGTTTGATAAGAAGTTCGGCTCAATCGGAGATCCCGTATGCGAAATTGATACAGACTCCTGGCGCGTTGGCCAGCACATTCTTTCGCGTAGCATCCTGATATCTGATACTTCTTTGCCAGAGGGCGCGTAGGATGGTACGGACGGCTTTATCTATACCAATATTAGCACATCGCCCCGTTTCCTTTGCCGCGGCGCCCTCGCACCCAATCTCTTCGATAAGGGATACCGAAAAGATTTATAAAGCTGGCGATAGATCCACGGAAGGATTGGCGAAGCTTATAATGAAATCAAGATTACAGGAGCGGACTCGGCCACCACGTCACGTTGGGCTTCCTTCTCCAGAGAGCGTCAGTCTCGGTCGCGAATTCTAAGCGGCTAATCGTACCTACCGACTACCCCGAGTTCGATAGGAAGTCGGTATCGCATTTCGATAAGCAAACTCTAAAGCGGCCAAACCTAATCCAGATCGTAGGTCGCTATCTAGTGTCTCGTCGACGAGATCCTACAACGATAACGAGCAAAACATCGGAGGATTTCATTATTCGTCGATAAGATCACTATTATCCATGTGGGGCCTTGATACTGATCGACATGATGATTTGCGTGAAAAACTGGATATTGGGGTAATAGTGAGGAGGGGTGGGGGGTGTGGGGGGTTGGGGTGGGTTGGGGTGGGTTGGGGTGGGCGGAGTGGGCCGCGGAGTGGGGCCGGTTGCTGAGGGGATTGCAAAACACTACTAATAAGCAATCAGCGAAGTCCAGGGCCCAGCAGTCTTTATCTTTGACCCACTGGAGTGGCCCGCTTCCGACATCTTGGCAATCATCTTGGCCACAGATAAGAGTTGCTGGGCGGTGTGGCTGAACCAAGATCGAGGGGTCCATGGTGTCCCGAATTAGAAGGTATCGGCTCCTTCGAAGGCTGAACACCGACAATCAGTGACGGATTAGAATGCGAGGAAGGCACGAAGGAAGGGAAGGGCTGACTGGGCTAGCTGACTGACTGACTGGTCTCTCGCTTCTTTCTTACCGAGTACTTCTTCGTCTCTCCTCCCTGCTCTTCCATCTCTCCCTCCCTTCTCCTCCTCCCCAGCTCGACCTCCCCCCCCATTTATCGAGTCTGTCTCTGGAGTGAATCTCGTCGACCGACGACCGACGACCGACGACCGACCGACCGACCGACCGACCGACCGAGAAATGGCAAACATGATGAACATGGGTGCGGATGACCACGCCTCCGACCGTGGCTCTACCGAGAGGAAGGCCGGCAAGCACACCTACGATACTCAGGTCGATGTCGACGCAAACAACCAGGAACTCGATGAGAACGACGACACCCACCATCTCCACCGTAACTTGAGCTCGCGCCAGATCACCATGATAGCCATTGGCGGTGCCATCGGCACCGGTCTCATCATTGGCACGTGAGTGCCATTATGTTCACGTTCAATTTGAATTTCATTTATTCTTTTATTATTTACTCACAGATTTATTGTCGACTTGAACTTTTGCATTCTTTCAATTTTTTCAGAGCGAGCGAGCGCTCTTGATTTCCAAATGAAATCTCCAAATCAGCTTCAAGCCTCCTAACAATTCATATCTATCATCTAGTGGAAAGGCTCTCGTTCAGTCCGGCCCGGCACCGATGTTCATCGGATACACTCTCGTCGGATTCCTCTGTTATTTGGTCATGGCGGCATTAGGAGAGGTATGTATGGAACCAACGTCCGATGGATCCATGAGAGGCAACGGTTACCCCCGCACGCACGGCAGCAGCATGGCCGACCGATGGTCAATTGATGCTAACAGATGGACCAATGCAATAGATGGCAGCATGGCTTCCTCTGCCTTCTGGTTTCACCGGCTATGCTACTCGCTTCGTCGATCCAGCCCTTGGCTTCTGTCTTGGTTGGAATTACTGGTTCAAGGTTCGTGCGGTCACTTCAAATATATCTATGTATCCGATCGATATGTCAGCTGAGCCCGGCAGGCCTGGCCAAGTCTGCGTGTGACAGGCACGGTGCCCCCCTCGTCTGGGCCTGGGCTTGTCTCATGGAAACGATAACTGACCTTCTGGCAGTATATCATCGTCACACCAAACAATCTTACTGCGGCGTCACTTGTCGTCCAGTATTGGATCGCACGTGACACGGTCAATCCCGGGGTCTTCATTGCTGCCTTCATGGTGGCAATTATGATCATGAACTATGTCGGGGTCAGGTTTTTTGGAGAGATCGAATTCTGGCTGTCTTCAATCAAGGTCCTTGTTATCTTGGGCTTGATTATCCTCAGTTTGATTCTCGCATGTGGTGGTGGACCCGAAGGAGAAGCAACTGGATTTAGGTACTGGAAGGATCCAGGGGCTTTCCATCCATACATCCTGGGTACGTGGAATCACAGGCCGTCTATCTCGAGGAAACGCTGACCGGTATGCAGAGGGTGCCGCCGGAAGATTCTTGGCTGTTTGGGCGACCTTTACCACCGCGGTTTTCGCCTACCTCGGAACCGAGCTTGTCGGTGTCACTGTCGGTGAAGCAGCGAATCCGCGCAAAGTCATCCCCCGCGCCATCAAGTTAACCTTTTACCGGATCCTGCTGTTCTACGTTGTCCTCATCCTCCTCCTCGGAATGATTGTCCCATACAACTCGCCGGAATTGGCGAGCGCAATCAATAACGGTGGCAACACGGCAACAGCATCTCCCTTTGTCGTTGCCATCAAGCTGGCCAGTATCCCAACACTTCCGGGGGTCTTCAATGCCTGTCTTCTAATCTTTGTCTTCTCGGCGGCCAACTCCGATCTCTACATTGCCTCTAGAACGCTCTACGGTCTAGCCCACGAAGGAAAAGCACCCTTGCTCTTCACCAGGACCGATTCACGCGGTGTGCCAATCTATGCCCTGGCTCTCTCCAGCGCCTTCTGCCTCTTGGCCTTCCTCGGTATCAACACGGAATCTTACACCGTCTTCAGCTACTTCGTCAACCTCGTGACCATGTTCGGTCTGCTCACCTGGATCTCCATCCTCATCTGCCACATCTGCTTCGTCAACGCCCGCATTGCCCAGAACATCCCCGACACTGCCTTAGCCTTCGTCGCTCCCTTCGGACGCTGGGGCTCCTACGGCGCTCTCGGCTTCTCCCTCCTGATCGCCTTTTTCAAAGGCTTCGCTCTGTTCTGCCACAAGACGCTCCACCCCGGAAAAGGCTTCGACACCCGCACCTTCGTCACCACGTACCTGGGAATTCCGCTCTATATTATGATGTTCTTCGGCTGGAAGTACTATTTTGGAACCACGCTCATCCCGTCTGCTGAGGTAGATCTGTTCACTGGAAAGGCCCGAATCGACCGTGAGGAGCAGGAATTCCTCGCTGCTGAGATGGAGAAGAATGGTCAACCGGAAACCACGAGGGCGAAGATCTACCGCTACACTGTGGGGTGGGCTTTCTAGATCATGAGAGAATGTGCTGGGGGAGGCTGCCATCTAGGTTGTTTTATATTACCAATTTTCAAAGACAATTACGATATAAAAGCCGGGCGTACAGAGGCCCACTTACCAATTCGGAAATGTTGTCTTGGACAGGGTTTATATCATGGTATATCTCTCCGCGTCTTTTCAATCTTGATACTAGTCCAAACTTGAACGCTCGCCTAACACCTCGGTTGCTATTGACTGTCGACACCACCTTTTCACTTATGACTAGCCGACCTCAGCTTTTCCTTATCTGCCACCCATGATTTAGAAACAAGATAACATCTACTATTGTATCCATCCGCACACGAGCAATCAAACTAGACGATTCACGCAGATGCTACTTACCTACTACGTTCTATGACTAACCGCATCGGGCTCTGCAGCTAGCTAGCTTCTCCCCCCTCGCCCCCTTTCTCTTTTCTCTTCTCTATCAGGCCCATTCACGAATCAATCAATCACATATATCCGTTGCAAGTCCATATATGCTTACACGCCCCGACGACGCCTTTAGTTAACTTTACATATGTACAGCAGCTCTGCTCTGCTCCGCCTTTTTTGGGGGGGGGGCTTTGCTTTGCATTCCCAATACGTCAACCAACACCTTGGACGCGCCTCTCCCTGTATTTAGGGCCCATCAGCTGCCTGCTCATGCGCTACTAGGTACCTACCTACCTAGCTCGCTCGCTCGCTACTAGCAAATAACACGGAATTCGGACTCAGAGAATCTTCATTGCCGTCGCCAAATTCGAGTGTGCAGGTACAGTCAGTCAGTCACCTCTAACTGCTAACTGCTCATGCATGAGAGAATTTGTATTGTCGCCCCAGAACTCTTTTACAATTTGACAACTTCCAACTTTCTACGACCATAACAAGCTTTGAAAAGGGGCACCTCCCAAGTCGTAAACCTTCATGACAAGAAAAAGCTTACAACTACGAGACGATCCCCCTTTGTGTTCCCATGATTTCACAGAGTCGATCCATGCCAGTAACACGACGTAGGTACAGACCGATTTGGCTCTTCCGCTGCACTTTAGAAGGAAGGTCTTGATGGAAGGAGCGACTTCGGCTTTTTTATCTCTCTCTCGTGTCTAGCTGGGTTTTATCAAGTGAGGCAGATTTAAGCTGGACGGTTTTGATCAGACTACTTTTCCGAAGAAAGAGTTGATAGACACCGGCTAATGTTGATGTTTTTGTTTTTTTTTTTTGCCCTCGAAGTGTCGGTGACCGTTATCATTTGGTTCTGGTGCGAAAAAAAAAAAAGATGTAGGTTTATGCATGGGCAGTTAGTTGCCTAGTACTGTAGGTAGGTAGGTAGGTAGGTAGGTAGGTAGGTAGTAGGTAGTAGGTAGTAGGTAGTAGGTAGTAGGTACATGCGCACGCGTGCTCTTGTTGCCATGCTGTCCCGCTGCCTACTACCTATTGCTATTGCAGATGGAGATTTAGGAAGACGGAAATTGGGAAGGGGAGATGAGAGGGAAAAGAGAAAAAAAAAGGCGGGGGGAGGGGGAGGGACTGTGTTGTTCATTTTGGAATGTATCATATATAATATGGTGTATACGTATAGGGATGCTGGTTGCTGTCGGAAGTTGAGGGATGCCCAGTTGATGGAGGGTTTATTGTATTTATATATATATATATGTGTGTGTGTGTGTGTGTGTGTGTGTGTGGCGACCAGACTTGGAACGCTGTTGGTGAGTTATGTATATAGAGAGAGAGAGAGAGATAGGCTGTTGAGGATTTAGACAGATAGATAGATGGATGGATGGATAGGTGGATAGAGAGACGTAAGAGAGGAAGGGAGTGAGGGAGAGATGGATGTAATGGTAATGGATGGATGGATGTCAGTGACCGCACTTTTTAATTCAATAACATTTCAGTATATAGATAGACAGCTGCTCTAGGAATGAGTCGAATCAACTTGTTTGCTGGGTGAGTAGTTGGGAAG